CATGTTCAGATATTATATATTAAAATAAAATTATATTTAACAAAAATAACACAAATTATCATAATTAAATCCTCCACATTACTACTTAATTCTCTAATAAATTGTAAGCTCTTCTACCTTCTGTATCCTCCCTTATACCCTAATAGATTGTAAGCTCTTCTACCTTCTGTATCCTCACTTATACCCTAATAGAGTGTAAGCTCTTCTACCTCCTGTATCCTCCCTTATATCCTAATAGAGTGTAAGCTCTTCTGCCTTCTGTATCCTCCATCATACCCAGCAGATTGTAAGCTCCTCCTCCCAGTTGAATGGTGGTCAGAGTCTTCCAACCTACATCCTGGTAGCTGAAGCTGTCACATTCCCTTACTGGCGAAGAAGAGACAAAGGAAATGCTTTCTCCCGCCTGCAGCAGACATCATCCGGGACAGTCAGCTGATTGGAGCTCAAGGACGGGCTTTTTAATGGCAAAAGGCGACTCTCTCAAAAATATAAAACTTTGCTGTGTATTGTGCCGTCAGTAATTTATTCATGCAGTAAAATGACCAAAGATGTTCCAGCCCAACCATTCTGCTTGCCCAAAAGCAGAACATCCCACCGAACATCTTATGCAATACCCCCTCTGCCCCTGACCTGTTCTATGTATTAACACTGGCTGTGCCACATCGCCAGCATGCCAAGCTGGCCACTGAGGATAGATGGCGTCAGACTTACCGGCTCCTCCAGTAATGAGACGTGTTTAGTGTAGACCATGGGGAGGAGATGAGAGGAGGGCTGCTGATTTTCTTCACAATCCTGTAACGTGTCTTTATCATCCGACTAGAAGAGGGGGTCTTCACAGAGGACAACGGGGTGCCTGCTGGAGACAAACATGACATCAGGGCCTGACAATGTGTTCATTAGAAAACAAAGAAGTTACCGAAATCTTTAAATGATGCCTCCCACTGCTTGCATCAGGGCTGAGGGCTCTTAAAAAGGAGCTTTGTGTGTTACATTGCTATTTACTTAGAATGGCACCCCAATGAGCTCATTACAGTAGCTGCCAATGCACCTGCACCAAGGGAACAACATAGCATTGAATGAGCACTGTGCACATGGTCTGACTAGGTGCATTGGACAGCAGGTTAAGGAGCATGAAGGAAACATTTGCACGGCTCCGCCCACTTTCCTGGAAACGATACACCCCCAATTTTGGGGATTTGCGGTGGACAATCTATATACCTTCCGTTGTAATACGGCTCTAATGTGCTCCGGCACACAACAATGCACGCCATGTCCCATCACCCGTGCCTGCACTACAAGGCCCAGCCGGCACTGGCGAAGGATCCATAGCCACGGCCTGATAAAGGGAAGCAGACAGATAGCGGCGCAGACGGAATAATCCCCTGCGCTGCAATCACGCAGCCATCTTGTCAGCGATTTGTAATCGGTCCAGCTCTGGATTCTCACATTATCCGGAACACAAACTAAGCTGTATGAATGGCTCTCAGGGGCTTCATCCCGATGCTTGTCAGGGACTGATGATCGCTGGCCGGGCTGCGGGAGGATCCGACTAACAAGCTGCGCAGGAAACGGCAGACAAATTGATGTTCTTTTATGAGTCTAATAAATCACGCGTCTTCATAACCGGCCGGGGGAAATCTCCCAACGCCACTTGTTTTACACGTCGTTAGTGCCTAACGTGTGACCTGAGGGTAAACTGTACAACGTGCGACGGTGGAAGCCACGGTCCCCTCGCCCTCCGCCACTGGGCTCCCTACGTCTCCTGTTACCTCATCTTATTTGGCCTCCTATACCGGTGAAAAAATTCCTTGTAACTTTGTATTTTTATCACTTCAATGCGTTTGGCCGAGTTCACACGTGCGTTACAGTCAAGCAGAAGAGAAGTGGGTTTAAAGCCTCCCTGCCTCCTATGAAACGCACATGTGTAATAGTTCAATGGCCAGTGCACTGTGGAGTACACATGTGTGCTGGTGTCGTGCTGGTTTTCTGATAGAATCCTGGACCCATTAGAAAACTGGACCCATGTGCCACTTCCGGGGGCGTCGACTGCACGCACAAGCTCTGAGCTGCTGATCTGGAGGGGGGACGTGGGCTTAACGCGCATGCTCAGATCCCCTGATTGCGTCCACAAATGTCACTTCCAATTGCACATGTGCTTGGCAGTCGTAGTCCATGAACCTATCGCAGTCCTAACCGCTTAATTCAAAATCGACTGGCAGGTGCAGTGGTAGTCGACGGAAGACACCGGCACTCCAACTAAGCTGACGTGTTCAAGTGCCGGTGTCTTATCTCTACCTTGTGCTGGAAAGCGGTGCCTTGCCTGTGAATTATCCGGACGCGCTTCCCGGCATATGTGCAATCCAGGCAAATAGCCTGTGAAATTTCTGGACCCACTCACCTCTTGACCCAGTCCAGATTTCTAATGCAGTCCGGGATTCTGTTAGAACACCGACGCAATAAAAAGAAGAGAGAGCGTGACGTGTCCGGGAGGCATTGCCGCATAATGACTGTCTCCATTCGTGTCTGTTGAGGCGCGTCGCAACCGCTAATAAAGCGGTTATGGCACATTAAAAAAAGTATTGCTGAAGGGTTTGCCAGGAGAGGGGCAAGAGGCGTTGGAGGTTCTGAAATCCCAGAAAGCACCGAGAAGGGTGAGAGGATAGAACAGAACCAAGTGCCACTTCCTGCCTGCACACCGCCAGCTTTACCAGCAAGAGAGCACCACGGTCAGCGACAGTCACTCGTGCCAACCTGGACCCATTTACATTACTTCCCCATTAAAAATAACAAGAAACGAACACTTGAAGGACACTGGACAAGATTTTTTTGTTGTTGTTGCATGAAAAATGCACCTTAAAGTGACATTAAACCCTCAGATTTTTTAACATAAACCAATACTGTAATGTGCGCCTTACTGTAATCCATGGTAGTTTCCCTTCTCTTTGCTGCTCTTCCTTTTAAATCCTCATGTCTTCTCATGCTGTGGGGGGAGAACTTCCCTTTTCAGCTCAGGGCCTCTTCCTGTAGTGCTGGCTCAGATTACAAGCCTATACAAACGTATACACAGACACCGTGTATCCATTCCTGAGACAAGGCAGTCTGCAGCAACACATAAGTTCTGCCCAGCATGAGAAGAGATGAGGATTTAAAAGGAAGAGCAGCAAAGAGAAGGGAAACAACCATGGATTACAGTAAGGCGCACATTACAGTATTGTTTTATGTTAAAAAATCTGAGGGTTTAATGTCACTTTAACCCGTTACCCTCCCAGAGACGCGTTTGTCCTATTAGACCCCTAATGTCACCTTTCCACTTCAATGAAGCTGTTCAAGCACAGATTGCTCTTGATAAGCTTCTTCCCCGGCTGACCGCTTAGAAGCTGGAAGTGATTAAATCATTGTGGCTTTCAGCTTCATTCAGTGGAGAGGAGATCACCGAATCCCGGAAGTTAACTGCTCTTTCTCCCTGCTACCCTCCGGCACCCACAATGATGGGTCCCACAATTGTGGGACAGTAGGACAGGGGATAAGGACAATAACAGGGCCACTTATGGGGTAGGAGGTGGATCAGAACAATAAGATGGACAGGTGAGGGGGAGAGAAGGATGGGGCATCAGAAAAATAAGAGGGGCAGCTGTGGGGTAGAAGGATGGGGATTCAGGACAATAAGAGGGACAATTGTGGGAGAGAGAAGGATGGGAGAATTAGGGCAATAAGAAAAAACACTTGTGGGAAAGAAAGATGGGGGACACACAATAAGAGGGACAATTGTAGGGGAAAAGGATGGGGATTCAGGACAAGAACAGTTTTGGAGAAAAAGTCAGGGGATCAGGACAATAAGAGGGCCAGTATTGGGAAAGAAGGATGAGGAATCAGGACAATAAGAGGAGCAGTTGTGGGTAGATGGGTAAGTATTTAGGACACAAACAAGGACAGTTTTGGTGGAGATCAGGACAAAAAGAGGGGCAGGAATGGTTGGGATTGAGGACAATAAGGACAGTTGTGGGGGAGAAGGATGGGAGATTCATGACAATAGGAAGGACAGTTGGGCAGAATGATGGGGATTCAGGGCAATAAGAGAGGGACAGCTGTGGTGGAGAGAAGGTTGGGGGATCAGAACAATAAGGACAGTTGTGGGGAAGAGAAGGATTGCGGATCAGGACAGTAAGGAGGACAGTTGTGGGAAGGAAGGGGGATCAGGTCAATAAGAGTGACACTTGTGGGGGAGTAGGATGGGAGATTCAGGACAATAAAAGGGACAATTGTGGTTAGGAGAAGGTTAAGGTAACAATAAGAGTGACAGTTGCG